AGTGAATTAGGCAAATAAAACAATGAGAAATATAGTTTATTTATTTTAAAATATTTCACAGTGTGTTGTTACACACTCTCCAAAATACTGCAGAGGAAAATTGAGATGAGTTTCTTTGAGGGCTGCGCTCCTGTGTGAGTCATGCGAGAACATGGTCCCCCCAAATGTTTTTCTTTGGGGGCTGCAATCTTGCAGGAGCCAAAACTGGGTATCCTGGGAACCAATCAGCCAGGATGGCTTCTGTACATCTAGGATGTCCCGCAGAAAGTGGGACAGTTGAAGGGTATGGTATTTAGCCCATTATTTTGAAGATCCTGAAGACATTTCACCAGCCTTTGCCAACCTAGTATTCTCCTGATGTTTGGACTACAACTCCCAGACTGCAGGGCTCTCCAGTCCAAGTGCAGTTTATCTTATGGCCAAAGAACCATAAGAAGGGAGAGCAAGCAGGGGCCTTTAAATTGCCCACCAGTGGTTAGAACCAGGACAACAGACTGACCAGCCCCACAGGCATCTGCAGGCTGCAGTCTTCTCCACTGGGATGAGGTATATTTCTGTTTTAAAAGGTAAAAGGACCCCTGACCATTAGATCCAGTCGTGGCCGACTCTGGGGTTGCGACACTCATCTCGCTTTATTGGCCGAGGGAGCCGGCGTACAGCTTCCGGGTCATGTGGCCAGCATGACTAAGCCACTTCTGGCGAACCAGAGCAGTGCACGGAAACACTGTTTACCTTCCCGCCGGAGCGGTACCTATTCATCTACTTGCACTTTGATGTGCTTTCGAACTGCTAGGTTGGCAGGAGCAGGGACTGAGCAACGGGATCTCACCCCGTCGCGGGGATTCGAACCATCGACCTTCTGATCGGCAAGTCCTAGGCTCTGTGGTTTAACCCACAGCGCCACCCGCATCCCTTATTTCTGTTTAAATCATACTAATTATTTCTAAATTTGCTCCTATACTTATAAATCAGCACATGCAAATTTTAACTTCAAATTGCCTTAAGTTAACCCAGCTGCACAGAGCTTGTCTGAGGCCAAGGGTAGAAGTCTGGGAGGCATGGGGCATTCTTGGCATGACAGAATAAGCCTGGCAGGCCCTTGGCAGGGCCCCCCAGCCAGCTTAGTCCTCCAAGGCCCAGGGCAAGTGTACACAGCTGCCCTGCTCTTCACAGTCCTGCAGCTGGACTTGTGGCTTCTCCTGCTCATTCTGTTGAGTAGGGGTCCTCAACTTGTGCCCCAAAGTACTGTCCTGACTAGTGTAAAGTTTATTCAGGCACAACCCAAACTATGCATATTGCCTGGCAGGGTTTAACTGAGTGGCAGAATCAACACTCCATCTGCACCCCTGTTGAGGATATGTCCTATGTAGAAGGTGTGTTGTTGTTGTTGTTGTTGTTGTTGTTGTTGTGTCTGGCAAATAGCTGCAGTCTGGACCTGGTGCAGCAATTGGATTTGATGCCATGGCCGGCTCAGGTTCCAATGGAATCAGGCAGGCTCGGCCCTTTCCCACTGTGCGATGCCTGATTTCAGGGTTTACCACTGGTGGGGATCCTGCCAGTTGCACTTTCACCACCCTCATGTTCTTTAAAAGGGATTGTGGGAAGGTGGGTCCTCCCCCCACAACAACCCACCATGTTTGTGTTTATACAGGACACATTTTGGGGATAGGAGAATTTGCAAGGAAACAAAATACATAGAAACTTAAAAATGGAAATAAATGATTTTGGGTGGAGAAATTCTACAATTATGAAAACTGAACCGGGAGAAAAATGCAACATATAATGTCTCCAACACAGATACAAAAACCGAAGCGTCAAAAAGCATTGGCTTTGCATGCAGAAAGTCCCAGGCAGAGCTAGGAGCGTTGCTTGCCTGAAATCCTGGAGAGCCACTGCTAGTCACTCTGTACAGTACTGAGCTACCAGGACCAAAGGCTTGACAAGGAAGCTTCCTGTGTAGGAGTAACTTCAGGGGAAAGGCTATGGCCATAAGGCACACGTTTTGCAAGGTCCCAGGTTCAATCCCTGGCACCTCCAGGTAGGGCTGGGAGTCTCCCTTGGCTGAAACATTGGTGGATCACTGCCACTCAGTGTGTACAGTACAGAGCTCGATGGACCAAGGATCTCAGGAAAGGTGGGCTATAAAGGCTATAAATGGTAAAAAGAACTCCCAATCAACTATCATTGTGAAGCTTGAATTTGTCAGTATTTGAAGACATGCGCTTTAAATATATAGTGTGTTTGCAGCCTCTGTTAGCCATGCTGGTGCATATAGGAATGCATTTTGAATAGGCCACTGCTGCAGTGTGTAAGGCAGCAGCTGTGCCAAGCAACCATAGGAGGTCACTAAGGCGCTACCTACCACAAGGGAGCGAAATATATTCTGCGTGCAGGGCAAGCTTACAGGAGCAGTGTTAGCAATTAAACACCCACTTTTAACCTCGCTGTGATCTTGGCAAGAAAACCTCTATGCATCTATTCATTTTTCTGTTGAACTAAGAGATGCCATCAATGCATTACTTATTTTGTTCCCTGCAAAATAAGCATGCAGCTCTGCCCTTGAATCTTTGATAAGAACTGCCCCTCATACTAAGGTAAAATTGAGTATGCATATTGGTGTGATTGCTGTGTGTGTGTGTGTGTGTGTGTGTGTGTTCATTGTTGATTGAGATTTTTTTCAAAACATGCTGAGGTCAAAGGATACATGATCTACATATAGAAGGCTTCCTTCTGAGCTGCATGCAATATATATATATACACATATACATATATAGTTTTCCCAAAAATATTATATTTAATAGATTTTAAAATGCCTTTCAGGATAAATTATCCTCCCAATGTGATTTCAAAATAGTAAAGAAAACACCACAGTAAGGTGACGTATTATTAAAACAACAAAATAATGAAACAGCATTAAAATAACATTAGAAAAATAAAAACAATCAGATAAAAAGTTCAGCTGTAGATAAAATGACAATATTAAAAACAGCAGCATTAGATAAAACAGTTATTGAAATGCAGAAGCATAAATCATCCAAATGTCATCTGGAACAAAGCTAAAAGATCTTTGGGGCTCTCCAAAAGGGAGACAAAGAAAGAGGGCAACAAATATATTTTTCTGGAGGTAATATTCCCCCAGATGTTCTGGCCCAGCCCAGCCACCCACTCCCTGCAGGGCAACATTACAGAATATTAGCCATATTTACCTATAGATGTGGGCGGGGCCAGCTCTATCATTAGGTACAGCAAGGCAGCAAACTTAGGCAGCGGATTTTAGGAAGGGATCAGCAACAGCTGCAGGCCAGAGCTGTTTGCCATGCAGTCTGCCCTGTGGCCAATAAGCCACCTTAGGGATGGGCAAGTCTATCAATCTCCATTTCTTGCATCAAGTTAGTGCTAGAGACAGATTTGTGCTAAAGACAGATTACTTTGTGTGTGTTGCTTTATATCTCATACATTTGAATTCTATTTTTCTTCTTAGCTGAATTGTAATGTTTTAATCTGAAGTTTGAGAGCACCAGTTTTCCGTTGGTGGATTGTGACCTGATCCAAAGTGTGCTGCAGCAGGATAACAGCCACCATGGAAATATACGTTAATTGATTAAGAAATGGGTCCCCAAATGCATGTTTGGGTTAAACGTGGATCCTGGGCCTGAAAATGTTTAAGATACCTGTTTTAAAGGATACCTTGTTTAGTTGCTAATTATGATGTTTGAACATGTGGGATTTTCATTGTATTTTTGTGGTTTGTTTTCATGTGCATTGCTTTCTTATGGTGCTTAAGACGATGCCCTACTTCTGTAATATTCTATAATGTGGGACTGTCATTGCATTTCTTTTGTATTTGATCTCTCCTTATGATGTTTTAAGATACGTACATTGTGTACCACTTAGATATTTCCCCTCCAAACACAAGGTAATGTGATAGAAGTTCATAAGATTATACCTGACCTGGGAAAAGTGGATAGAGAAATATCTATTCTCCCTCTCTTGTAACACCAGAGGAAGCTGAATGTTGGAAGATTCAAGACAGATACAATAAAGTCCTTTTTGGTGTAGCTCAGTTAAACTATGGAACTTTCTCCCACAAGACTTGGATGGCTTTAAAAGAGGATCAGACAACTTCATGGAGGAAAGGGCTCTCCATGTCTACTAGTCACAATGGCTATGCTCTACTTCCACAGTCAGAGGCAATGATGCTTCTCAATTCTGGTTGCTGGAAACCACAGGAGAGAAGACTGCTGTTGTGCCTATGTCCTGCTTGAAGGCTTCCCATGGGCAGCTGGTTGGCCACTATGAGAACAGGATGTTGGAGTGGATTGGCCAACGATCTGATCCAGCAGGTTCTTCTTATGCTCTTAAACAGTATGTAGACTTGTTAAATAAAATATATAACAATAAAATATGTTCAAAGTGACAGCAGGGTTTTTCCATTCTTTATTGGTCCTAGCATGCCGTGTTGCATGCTAAGATCTTCTCATGCCCCAAGCATGGTCAAAGTAATCCAGGAAATGATGCAAGCCTACATATCTACTCAGAAGTAAATCCCATTGAGCTCAATGGGGCTTACTCCCAGGTCAGTAGATTGCAGCCACTTTCTCTGGTATAACACATAATTCATCTTAATATTATTAGGTTCAGGTTGCATGTCTGCAAAATGGCTCATTCTCCCCTTGTAGTTAGTGCGACTCACTACCTGGTGAGCGAGCACAACAAGATGGGAGGGACGGGACGCAGTTTTCTTGCTATGCACCGGATTGCAAAGAGCGCACCCTCCAGCCACCTGCCTTGGCGCTCTTCGCCTCTGGATGTCAGCCCTGCCTCAAAACCCGGCTCCTTCCTTCGGGCAGCTGGTTGAGAGCGGCGGGTGAATTGCCTGCCTTGCGGCGAGATGATGAATAGGGGAGTGACCCCCTTTCCTCCACCCGGCTGAGCTCTCATTGACTGGAGGAAGGGGAAGGGTTTCACTTCCGCCTGGTTGCAGGAATCAAGCCCCCCCCCCATATATTAGAATAATCCCAATAGATCATCTCCTCACCCCCCCTCCCAGTCAAAAGGGGAAAACATCCCCTTCCCCAGCCGTTCCTATGCGCAATGGGAAGCAGACGGGGCCTTAGACATTTCCCCGTCCCGCCCTCCGCAAGCCAAGCCCTTGAGCATCCTTTCTCTCTTCTCCCTCCAGGAGGCATCTTCGCGGTGCTCTCCGTTCATCAGCGCCAGGGAGGGCCGACCGGTGTTTTCCTCCAGCGCGGAAGAGGCGAGAGAGAAAGGTCTGTAACACTGGAAAAAGGGGTGGATGATGCGTTGGTTGCTGGCGATGGTGCCTCTGTTTACCTAGCCGGCTCGCTCTCTCTTTGCAAGGGGCTACTGTCTTTGCGCGTGCCTGAGCCTCCCTGTGAAACAACACTTGGTTTGAAACAAAGCAAAACAAACAAACAACAAACCTGCACGGATGCCAATCAAACAGCAAGCCAAGGCTGTTAATATGTGCTCTGTAAGAGAGCCTGCCTCAACTCCCTCTGCAGTCCATAAGAGAGGGCACCCCCTGGCCAATTTCATCCACTTTGATCAAGTGCAAAACGTTCCCCCATTTTCTCCAGGTGGCATTGCTCACAGGTGGGCAGCCCGGCCCTGTACACACTTACTCGGAAGTAAGTTTCTCTGTGTTCAGTTAGTCATTTCCTCCTGCGAAGAGCACATAGGACTGCAGCCAAGCAGCACAATTCTGACCAAGATACAGTGGTACCTCGGGTTAAGTACCGAATTTGTTCCAGAGGTCCGTTCTTAACCTGAAGCACCACTTTAGCTAATGGGGCCTCCTGCTGCTGCCGCACCACAGGAGCACAATTTCTGTTCTCATCCTGAAGCAAAGTTCTTAACCCGAGGTACTATTTCTGGATTAGTGGAGTCTGTAACCTGAAGCATATGTAACCTGAAGCGTATGTAACCCGAGGCACCACTGTATTCAATTATGTCCCACTGAATTAAATGACGCCCAAGTAAATATGCCCCGGGATCATGGACCTCAGTCCCTTGTGTAGACACATCTGATGCATGTTTTCCTTGGAAAGAAAACCATCCTAAATTATGTGGAGTTCACCCACTGAATATTTATATGCCGCTGTATCATGAAGTTTTATTACAGCGGTTACAACACCATAAAATATAAAAACATAAAACCAAAAGTTGAAAACAAGTTAAAAGCAAAAATAAATTAAAGCCAAATATCAATAGACCATTGTGGGGGATGTACTCTTAGTTGCCTGCATAAGCCAGGCAAAACAAAAGCATTTTCAGCAGGCATTTAAAAGTTGGCACAGAAGGCACCTTCTGAATAAGGCAGCCTCCCCTGTTTCTATTTAATTCAGCCTTTCATTCATAACCATGAAGACTGGAATCTTACTTCTTCTTTTTAAGAGAAGGAGCCATAGCTCAGAGCATCTGTTTTGCACACAGAGGGTCCCAGGTTCAATCCCCAGCATCTCCAGGTGAGGCTAGGAGACACTCCCATTGTGAAATCCTGGAGAGCCACTGCCAGTCAGTGTAGACAATACAGAGCTAGGTGGAACAATGAAGACGTTATCACATAGCTCAGTGTAAGACCTATGTCAGCAGCTTCCTATATTTCTACGGGAGCAACCTTACTTGCTGGAGATACTGTGGTGCAGCATCATGTGTACATACATGACAGGAGTTAAGCACCACCAGTGCTGCAAGTACAGTTAAAAATGGTTTTGAATTACATGCTGCTTGAATCGGTGCTTCAGTACCAATTGAGGGTTACAGTCCATGCATCTGATGGACTCTCACCCATGAAAGCCTGTGCAATGGTCAAATTTATTAGTTTTTAAAGTGCCATGAAGCTCCTTGTTGTTGTTTTTTTAGCAACAGACTCTCATGGCTAGCCCTCTGGAATTTCTTCGTGAAGTAAGCCAGCGTGTCAGGGAGAAAGCTACTGTGATCCTTACCTTACAGCCCTTATAGTGTGTGAATTTTTATGTAGGAGAGCATTCCATTATGTGCTTGCCTCATTTGCGTACTGACATGGTACGATCCTGGGAGGGCTGTGCTAAGTGTTTGTTTTCTCCTGAATGCATGCACATGTGTCTTTTTGTGTGCTGAGATTTGAAGTTCTGCATAGGAAACTGTGTGCCAATTGCAAGTGCCTGTGTTTTATCATATGAATATGTATGTTCACTTCAGTGGCAAAATGGGCATTTTATTTTATTTTGTTCACTTGCAGTGTTGCCTTATCCCATATATGCCCACCCGACAGATTCAATCTGTGAAACTACAGCTGCCACATAATAGTCTTCCTGCACTTATAAGAAATCAATCTTTCAGTGTAGCTGCACCTACAATTTCACTTTAGAACTCCCTGCCTATTGACATCAGGCATTTGCCTTTGCTCTTTTTCAGTGCTTATTTTTTTTAAAATGTTTAGGCAATCCTAGCCAGACACGTAAAAGTAATATACGCACTATTTCTTTTTAGCTGTTATAACTTTATGTGGAAGGTGGGGCAAACACCCCCTTTTGTTGCTGCTTTTGTTAAACAACTTGGAATCAGAATCCCTTCTGATCTACTGCAAATCACTCAGAGGTCTACCAGTAGATCCTGATTTACATTTTGCCCACTTCTGCAAATAAGACAAATGAGTGCATTGGATACTGAGCAATGATCCACATCACTGTCCCCAGACGAGTCATACTGGCAGGCCTCAAAGCTATTAAAATTGCCCAGTGAGCACATTGGACTTTTCTTAAAATTTGTCTCCCCTGAAAGCCATTGAAGGCTTGCTGAGTTAAATCGATATCTGTCATGGACACAGAATAAATGACATAACTGAGGAAACACAAGAAGTGTGTGTCAGAGTGAGAAATATTATATAGAAATCTTCTAATAGAATCTGCAGGCTCTCCTTTATGATTCATGTCTCTAGCTTTTCCTTGGTCAGGCCATGACTTGGCCACAGTACTCCATGCTCTGGTAACTTCCAGACTGGATTATTGCGATGTGCTCTATGTGGGATTGCCCTTGAAGATGGGTCAGAAATTTCAGCTGGTTCAAAATGTGGTGGCTTCAGTTGCCCTGGGCTTCCTATAACCCCTGTTCTCAAACAGCTGCTTTTGCTGACAGTTTGTTTCCTGGCCCAATTCAAGGTGATCTGTTTAATGTTCTAAACAACTTGGGCTCCAGATATCTGAAGGACTGTCTCCTTTCCTATAGATACTCCTTACCCAGATCAGCAGAGGGGACCCTCTTGGCTGTTCCACCTCCCTCAGAGGGTTGCCGTGGGGGTGGGGTGGGGTGAGGCTTGCTTGGTAGATGGCATTCTCTATGGTAGCACCTAAGTTGTGAAGATCTTCCCTATTGAGGTGTGCCTGGCTTCTTCACTATGCAGCTTTTGCCAAATGCTGAAGATGTACCTCTTTACCCTTGACTCCTGAGATGTGTTTTCAGCCTACTCCAGTGATTGCAATTTGTTTTAACAGTTTTCAATTCTGAATTTTCCATTGTTGTAACCTGTACTAGGACCTGCTATTGAGGGGTGGGTAATATAATTAATGATGTTAACTACTACTACTAATAATAATAATTTGGATGGCTGCTCTTACTTTGTAAAGAAGAGTTTTTTAAAGAGAGAAATTCTCAGCTCTGTTGAGATTTAGTTCAAGAGACAGAGTAAGGTAATAAAAGTATTATCAAAGGTTTAAACTCTTGCTGATGGTATTATAAGCCCCAAACAACTTGGGACCAGTCTATTTAAGGAACTGCCTTATCCTGCACGTGCCTGTCGGATCACAGCAGTCTTCAAGAGAAGCAGATTTGACCAGGCCACATACCCCTGAGGTCCCTTTCATGACCACCTGCAGAAGGGCTTTTCTCCAGCACCTATTTTGTGAAATTCAGACACATGGCAATCACCTCAATGCTATGCCTTAGATCAGGGTTAGGGCACATTTTTCAGCCCAAGGCTTGCATTCCCTTACAGTCAACATTCTAGGGACCATATGCCAGTGCTGGGAAGGGCCAGAAGCAAAAGTGAGCAGGGCAGTGAATGTTAATTTTACCTTTGTATAGTAGGCTAGTTTCTACACATACTTACACACCCTTCTCTACCCTCTGTCCAGGAAAGCAAGGTCATCAGAGTTCAAGGACACATTCTAGCCCAGGAAGGTGCGAAGCAGGGCTGGGCAAAGTCCCATGGACCAGATAAAGGGACCTGGAGGGTTACCCCCTGGGGCTGAGTTAGATGCTTGCACAAAACTTTGCATTAATGCAGGCTTACCCTGTACCTAGATATGTTGTCTGTACTATTGCTTTACTATTTTCCTGCATTTTAGTTGCATTTTTTCATTAGAAGTATAAAAATTCCTCTATTTTGGTACCATATAGAAATTGAGCATTGTGATTGCATTTTAGTTTTCATTTATTTGTTGCAAATCTTTCAGAGATATTTGTTGTTACCTTATTGCTGCACTTCTCTATTGATGCTCTTGACATTCATAATGATTAGTGATTGTTGGAAGCTTGAGTGAAGCGCAGTTGGCAGGTATGGTCTGGTCTCCCTGAGATCTGGTGCAATGAATTAACTCTTTGAGAGAGGTTCCAGCTAGCTACTCAGCTTGCTACCTTTTTCTCTGTAAATGCCCTCCAGCTTCCCCACTTTCATTTCATTTGATTGCCCAAGATCTAGACCACAGGCTTCTTACTTTCCTTCTCAGCCAACAAAAGCTGGGGAGGGGGGCTTCAACTTTTGTAGCTAAATGCTGCTCCTAAGCAGCTTATGGTGAGAGCCTGGCTTAAGCTTCAACGAATGTTAAGAATGAGCTATAAATTGCAGATCTCATCATGCTAGTATATATGTAGAGAGACAAAGCTGAAGATCTCCTGTTTCCTTTGTCAGCTTCTTTTGCAGGGGAAAAGAAAGCATAAATTTGTGCCCATGCTGATTGGGTGGCTGTAGGATGCTGGACACAGAGATCCTAATGCAGAAATAGCAATGGGTCTTCAACATCCCTCCTTGCAACTATGAATGATTACACCACTGATTTGGACAGGTAGGCAGGATAACCCACCTGTCAATCACATGGTGTTGTAATGACATCTTAATGACAAGGAGCTGGCCCACAGAACCGAAAGGTTTCCTTACCTCTGCACTAGATATTAAGCTAAACATGTGGCTACTAGTGAGAGCACCAGTACCTTTCTCAGGTTCCCCCTCCATGACTTCTTGTTATAGCTTTTCTTTCTGCCCTGACATCAT